CACTTCTCATGATTGTTTGATGGGATTTTAATATTGTATTATTTTTCAGCATAGGCTGGCATTTTGATTCAAACATTTTGATTTCGCAGACCCCTGAGAGGGTCTGGGGGGACCCCCAGAGGTCCTAGGACCACACTTTAAGAAACAGTGGATTAAAGGATGAAAGTTTTCCTTAAACTCTTCCACAGATTAATTTCCTTCAAAAGTTAGTCATGGATTTGGTGCCACCTAGTGCTAAGGTCCAATCCAAATTTAAATGAAATTTGGAAATTTAATTTAAATGAAAAGTTAGTCCAAATTCCACCCCTCTCTGCAAGAACTGTCCTAGATAAGACTGTGAAAGCTTATATGGTATATTAGGCCATGTCATATACTGGCCTAATACAGTTACATTATGGTATATAACTACTCCACCCTGAATTTGCAAGAAAAAGAGATAACTTCATCATTCCACCACATACTGAAACCAAATACAGCCTTCTCTTAAGAGCTGGATGTTCTGCGTTAACACATATTTTAAAAATGTAATGCCCAGACTGCTTAAAACAGTAGTCCAGACTGGGCTATCAGACTAATTTTAAACTGAATAAAGAGGCAGTTCAAACCTGCCTAGGTTCAAACTGATTTATTGTTCTCTTCCTTCCATTTGAGTCACTTTTTTTCCCCCCAGCAAGAAATAGTAAAGTCTGTGCTTATGCACATTCTTCATAGCAGCACATAGATGTGTCATGGACTTGTTTCTAGTGTGCCACAAGATTTTTATCTTATGCTATTTTTTTAATTTTTATTTTTATATTATGTGTATTCTATATAATCTGTATATTCAATACTGTGCAGATATTTTTAAAAATTGTATGAGTTCCCCTGAAGCCACATCTTACATCTTTAAAAACACATAAATATGGTTAATAATTTTCTGGTGTGCCCCAGAACTACTGCTGTATTCGTTATTATGCCGTGGATTCAAAAAAGTTGAGAGCCACTTAGCTCAGGTCAGCGATGGCAAACCTTTTGGGCTCGGCAAATCAAATATTCAGAAAGTGCCTAACTTGACTCTGCTGGCATGTCCGCCCCCCCCCCCCGGAACAAAAGAGAAACAATTCTTTACATATTCATTTATTTAAAATATATGTATAGTCCAATCTTGTGGTGCTATGTATTATATAAAGAAACATCAAGTAATTACAAAAATGAAATATGA